AATGCATGTTTCTAAACTCATTAAAAAAAAGTGTTGCAACTATTCTGTCCATCACTGTATATTTTCCAGATGAAGATAAGCGCGAACTGTTTCTTGTTGCGAAACAATTTGGCAACATTTGATGCAGCGAGTTTCGTACGTCTTGCCTCACCACAGTAAAACGTATAATTATAATATAAACATAAATAATGATAAAACATTGTGTTATATAATTAAATAAGGTCGTATTCTCATAGAAGAGGATAGTGTGCTGAATAGGGCGCTTTTTCCTTTATATTATCCATTTATGTCATTCAAAAATTTATATCCCGCGGCGTAACGCTTGGCAAAATTGTGAGCTGCAACAAGGTGTGAAAAATAATGTCAAAAAGCTAAATTATTCTTGCAACAATGACGTACAGCGTCACTTTTTGTTTTTAGCGCAGTTTCTATATTTAAAAAAATTGTAATGAGAAAAATTACTCGACGTACCTGGCAATATTACGTTTTATATTACGTTTTTATTTCAATTATTCACTGGCGAAGAAAAAATGTCCAGTATTGTTCAAAAAGAAATTGTTAAAATATACCGAAGGCTCTGATATTTATCACATCTCAGCAGCTGTCAAGCTGTTTTCGTCCTTGACTAGGCACAATTCAATTGCACGACATGGGTTATTTGCCAGTTGCTCGAACGACAGGAGAGTTTTTGATATAATGCACATATCTACTCGATTACAAACGCTATACTTTATTGAAAGACAATTTTATTTCAAATATATTTCAAGGTGTTCTTTTTATAAACGATAAGTTTAAAGATACCGTTATCTTCCAAACGAAACAATATATGCGTCAGCGCTAAGGTGATTATTTTAATGGTTAACGAGGAACATTACAAAAAAACGCGCGAGTCAACTACAGAGTGCGTCTTTTTGCGAGTCCGTCGCGTCTATCGAGGTTTTCGATCTGCGAAGGGCTCGTCGCCTTAGGTTGAGCATTGTTTTTGCCACCAACCACTTTCGCATATGTAGCGCAGTGCGTCTACAAAGCCAATGATCAGGCAATGGGTGGATAACCGGTTGTGTGCGCCTCGATTCCAATCGTTTTCAGCGCCGCTTTGACGTTCGTCTCCGGGCTGGGCGCCATCCACGATGTTTTCTTGATCTTGGACATCTTTGTGGCGACTGGGCCGGGTAGGACGCACTGGACGACGATCCCTCTCGACGCAGCTTCCGTAGCAAGGTCGGCGCTGAGCTTACATGATTACAAGATTATATCTATACATAGATTATACATAGACTGTACGTGTTGCAAGAATTTTTATTATGATTTTCTCGCTTCCGACGCCATCAATTCCGGACTGTAATGAATGAGCAGGAGTATTAAATGATTAATTTTTTGTTTACAAGCGGTTTAAAAGTTTCATCAGCGACCACCAGAACACTGAAGAAAGGTCAGGTGCTGAAAGATCACGAGGAATCGCCAATTAGCAATTAATAGTGGAAAGTCTCCTATTATGAGACCGGCTCCTAATATGAGACAGCGGA